TTTAGTTGTGAGATCTATTGTTGCGATAGTAGTGTTACTTTTGGCTCGATCCTTATTGCCGATCGGATATAAAATTAAAGAAGTTTAAATAGTTGTTTAGACGATCATGTGAGATTCGTTCAAAAATTTTAGACATCACTGGCAGCACAGATATGGGACGATAGTTTCCGGTCAGTTTTTAGTCAGTTTTGGGTCCCGATTTGTAAATCGGTGTAACCTTTGCGATCTTCATGGTATCTGGAAACTCTCCGTCAATCATTAGTTTATTAAAACATTGGGCCAAACAAATTTTTTATGTTTGTTACCTCAGAATTTTCGATTGAGTGAACCGATAATGAATATTTTTTTATTTGAAAGCTGGTATAATGCTAATCTTACCATGTCGCATGTTAATTTAATTGGTATAGGAACTTGGGCTCCGGAGATACGTGGGGAACTCCAGAAAAATAATCAATTATAAAATGAATACAGAGCGAGATATTTGAAGTCGGTTTTGTTTTTCGTTAGTAAAAAAAAAATGACTTTTTATTACAAACGATTCTGAAAGAGTTTAAAATCGTGAAAGTTTCCTTCACCTCTAAGCACGTGACTAGCTCTTATAATCAACAATTTGATCGGTGCTGGTACAGGGAATTCAACTCAGGTTGCTTGAGTACTTTGAATTATAACCGAGCACCCGACACTAAGCTATCACGGCTCAATGTAATACTTATTATTAATAATACTTATTTATTAGAGTAAATTTAAACCAAAATACCAATTGATACGATGATAAAATTTATATAGATCTGCTTGGACACATGTTGTAATGAGAAAGCTGTTACACCAGTCCTGAGTTTATCTCTCCTCTAAACTCAACATTTTCTATTTAAGAACACGCTTCGTAATATAAAAATGGCGCATTATGAGCAAGCTGTAAAAAAGGAAGTTAGCGTTAAGGACACATTGCACGCAGTTGTAACATTAAACACGGCGCTCTTACAGCATAATACTGTATTGCGCTATGGGAATACAGTGCAACGTAGTCTCTTATAGTTTCTATAGCAATATGAAATATTTCATATTATTCATCCATACGCACTGGAATTGCGAAATAAATGTGACAGTTCTCTTATTTTTATTTATTTATTTTTATATTGCTAGCGGACCGGGCAGACGTTGTTCTGTACAGACGACTTAAATGTGATCTGAACACAAAGACAAAAACAAAAAAAAAACGAACTGTGAATCTAAACGCATACAAAAAATTCATTCAATCAGCCGCTTAGGAGGAGTTCAGTGATAACACACGTTTAATAGAATTATATATATATATGTATATAGAGATATCGAGAAATTTTAGAGACAATGAAGAAAAATAATGGGAACAGAAATAATAAGAAATTTAAATGGCTGTAAGGAGCGAAAAGATCTTTAAGTTTGCACATTTTTATACGTTTGTAGGGCCACGCAACAGCCTCGGCTGTTGCACGAATAGGCAGGCTCGTCCGGTTAAAGTACCACGACCTCACAGAAGACCGGCGTAAAGTTGAAGTATAAATACTTCCGCGTTTCGTCTGGTGAGTGAGGTGGCCGGAGGCCAATTTTCAAAAGGTTGTCAACGTCTGTGCAACCCTCGGGTATAGCAGATTTCCATGGGCGGCGGCGAAAAAAAAAAAAAAAACAAATTACGAACAGCTATTAAACTGGCAGGGGGAGGTATCCGTATAGTATACATAACTAGTGCTTTAAAATGTATATTATAATTTAAAAAGAACTCAGTTATACAAGAGATCGATAGGCATATTTAGTTACCATGCATACAGTGCATTTAAATATAAAGCGAACGTGTCGAGGCTAAGTGCATTATAAATATTGGACAACGTGTCCGACCATTCTGTACAAAGTGGGGGCAAGACACAAAGCACCGTGTGAACATTACAGGTGCATCACGCGCTACTTTATTTGTTCTGTACCGGGGATAAAACTTGTAACACCCAAACGCTCTCAGTGTGCCAACCGCTCAAGTGTGTCGCGAACTTTCAGCGAGTTTGCAGCATGGAAGTTTATTTTGAAAACACTTCCTAAACAAGCCCGAGGTGCTCCGTCTTCTCTTTATGGACACAGTGCGAGGTGTTTCGTGTTTTAGATCGCTTCATACTGTAAAGTAATCACGTAGGTCACGATAGTAGAGTTAAGTTGCATCATTTCGCATTTATTTGTATAACATATTTGTTATTTTTTAAGATGATTTCTTTTTTTATGACGACTGTTTAATCAAATAAAGGACAGTGAACTTAGTTGTGAATTAGTTTGTAGTTTTATATAAGAAAGAAAACTACGAGTATGTGGATACATACGGGTGGATACCCAATCGAAGGCAAAGAAGAAGTAAGCCTTTTGTTGTAAACATAGTTTTTTATATTAGACAGTACTGAAATTTACATGTTTATACATTATGCCTTATTAAGATTTCAAAACCTATTTAATTAATATTGTAAAGGATGTGTACGTTTTGCTGTTGTAATTTTTCAACATCTTGTCCTTCATTCGCCTAATCCACATGACATTTGGGATCAGGGAATCTTTTTCCATTATTTAACCATTTGTTATTCGTAATTTTACTGTTATCTATAATTTAAAAACTGTTCCTGTCTCAATCCACTTCAATATTTGATTTTATTCATATTCATGTCTCTCACTTTTACTTCTCATAGCTGTGATATATATATTTTACAAGAAATTTGAAACAATTCTAATGAATAACGTAAATTTTTAAATCGTACGTTTTTAAGCGTTTACTTTATAAATAGATCTGTATTCCTTCATCATGTTTCTAATGGTATATTATAAAGCTCAGCCGTCAGCTCAGGATTTGAGCCGTCAAAATACAACTTCTAAAAGTAATTAACATTACTAAAAAACAACAGCTGTTAGTATGATTATATTTTGTTTCTTTGTTTTTATTCCTTCAATCAAAAGATCAAGATACCTTACTTTTACAAAATAACCTACATCAAGAAATCGATAACAGTAAGTTTAAACGGATATTTTGTTTGTCGCACCAAAGACAGGATTTAATTGAAAAGGAAATGAGTAAATTATTACATATTGATTGCTTGTGTTTATGAAAACATTGAAGGTTATTAAATGTAGTTTAAATGTAAATGTAATTTGAATACTATTAGACCTAACGTAAAAAAGATCGTAAATACCGCATTTTGTTATAAATGTTATAATTAACACATCGTTAACAATGACAATATCATGGAATTAATTTATACGACTAGGTCTGTTTTTTTAAAGATTTTGGTGTATCATTGGTAGTTTTTGTGCAAGAAAATGCAAATCATGAGTAGCCCAGTAGCTAAACTATTGCCTTCAACGACTCATATGAAGCATCGATTTCCTTGCGACTTTTGAGTGTTTTTAAGAGTCGTGGCAATTCATGGACCGGGCGCTCGCTTTTGATTCAATATACTCCGGCAACCTGAGCTCAATCCACGTTGCCGGTACTAATGAATTTGTTAATTATTAGTGCTGACTTATTACGTGCTCAGTGATGTAGGAATTGTGAGGAAACTCGCATATGTTATAAAACATAACAATAGCATATTAAGAAGACATGTAAAGTCTATTAATCCGTAGTGGAGTTATAATTATGTCAAAGAAGGCCTGTGACAGGTATTTATTTTTACACTAGCTGTGCCCGTGACTTCATACGCGTGGAATTTAAATAAATAAAATTTCTAAGACAAAAGTAGCCTACGTTACTCCTTGTTACATCAGCTATCTGCCAGTGAATGTCCCTACAAAATCCGTCCAGCTGTATCCGTCCAGCTGTACTGTATATCCGAGATTAGCCGGAACAAACAGACAGAAAGACAAAATTGTAAAAATGTTGTTTTGGCATAAATACTGTCTATAGATCTATATGCAATTAGTAAAAAGCGTTATTTTAATATTACAAACAGGCACTTGAATTTCATTTATCTGTATAGATTATAGTGGTAGTGGAATTTCAATTTTCTTTAATTAAAAAAATCAAAACAATAAAGGTTAGATAGATAACTAGCTAAAAATGCTCCCATTTTTAGCGAGTTATTAAAGATAAGTCCAGTTGCTCACAAATAAACTATAGTTGAAACTTACATGCTGACTGCGCGCTATAATCTAAATAATTTAACAACGACATGTGCTATGTCGGCACAGCGATATTTCAATGTTTATTCAATCAATGCTGCAAACATTTTGTCAACAAACAACAACAATGCGCTTTGTCTTGAGAAAAGTATTGATACAGTTGGTGATTGCTAACGATTTGCGATGGACGCAAAAATGTTGGCATGTGTCATAATTATTTTGATAGCGCCAATTATGATTGTAAGTAATTATTTTTTATATTAATAGTCTTAAATTGTTAAATATTAGGGATGGTTCGTTGGTATGCCAAATAAATGATTTCATTTAATCGTAAATAAGATTAAATATATGTCGTGTGACAAAATGCTAGAGTAAATTCTCTTAATTGGAGTAACTCGTAATGCTATTTTCTCTTTTCCGAATGTTTGTCATAACACACATATATAAATGGAAAAAATATGATCATAGTGGAAATAATAATTTTAATGTGAAAATACTGGAGTAATTCGTAATAATTTATATTTCATTAGCATAGTTGTTTTAAAAAGTATGTTACTGTTGATCTATAGCTTACCTTAATACTTTAACCTTTCCGTTTCAATTCACTATATGCATTAATTAATGAAACTTAGGTTGAGGCTGAGAGAGGCAGTTTCTTTATTGACCTTATATACTTTTCCTTGAAGAGAATTTTCACTTTTAATTATAAAGTATTGTTGTTTATGGTATAGTATAGTTGTTTATCAACATTTATATGTATGAACTAATGGAAACCTCTACATATTCTGCTTCAGGAAGCGTGGAGGACTACAAATGAATATAGAAGGTCTACAACAGATGCAGTGAAAAACCTCCATCATATTCATGCCAAACGTCATATGATACAAAATGAAAGTGAACCTAAACGAAGAACTTCTACTCTGCGTCCAAGGGAAATAAGAAAGAAAGTACGTTAATCGTTATTGAATATTTAAAGTTGTCAAGAGTTTAATAAACTGTAGTAATTTAGAAAAAAATCATTAAATTATAAGAGGAATGAGCTTTTACTTGGAGATTCCTCTTAAAGAATTATAAAAATACTTTCGACGCCAAATCATATTGATTTATATTAACTACAACTAAATAAAGTACTAATTCAGGTACATTACGTGTGCCATAGACATTAATTATGTAGTAATAAGATAATCTAATATATAAAATTCTCGTGTCACGGTGTTTGTAATTGAACTCCTCCGAAACGGCTCTACCGATTTTCGTGACATTTTGTGTGCATATCAGCCAGGGTGGAGAATCGGACAACATCTATTTTTCATCCCCCTAAATTTTAAAGGTGGTCCACCGTCAAAACAGTTTTTTGTACCCTACAAATTCCCTAGAAATAATTTTTATGGCAGAATGACGTTTGCCGTGACAGCTAGTTATAAATAATAATATATGAGTCTATAAGAGCATTGTTTATCATCATCCTGTCACCCATTGTGTTATATTTTCGTTTGTACTTTAATTAAAGTTTCGCTTCAGCCATCAGGACACCTCAAGCCTCTGGAAGAAGACGACATCGAGAACGACGAGGTGGTTTCCGTCGCCATAGGGCCCCCCGCTATACGGCCCAAGTACGAGAAACCCGTGTGGAAGCAATCCTCGCGTTCAGGTATTAACGGCACAAACAACACCTCCTCGACGAGACTGGTGAAGGAGGTCCTGGTACAGTTGGGGCGAGAGTTCTTAACACACCAGGTCAATGAGGACTTTGTGTTCGGCCAATACATCGGCAATGCGATGAGGAACCTGAAAAGCGACCTGAGATTGCGCATGCAGCACGAGGTGCTGGACCTAGTCGTGAAGTATCAAAAGCTGAATCGGGGGGAGATCTTGAAAACGGAGGAGCCAAGTATAACGGAGGATAGAATTGTTGGTCTTAAAGAGACGAAGGGGGAGAAAAAGGCCGCGTGTTCTAACGACACAGAAGAGTCTTGGCCGGACTTCCCGAACTTTGCGAAAATAGTTGGTTAATGGTCGCTTGGAACAAAAGCGAATTAGGGCAACAAACGCCAGTAAGAAGATAAATAAGTGAATAATGAAATAAGATGTTTATTAAGGTCATAATTTTGTTCAATTCAATATTTAATTTATTAAACCAGGCATATTTCTACATATTCTTAACTTTTTGTCATTAAGAAAATATGACTGTGACTGTGTATGCGACGTAGATACATGAACATTTAGAATAATGAAATTAATACTACCTTCTAAAATAGTTTTTTTTTGTATACGATGTATTCTTGTTTTTGAAATAAAATCTAAATAATGGTAAAAAGGTGGTTTCGTTTTTTGTAAAGTGTAAGGTACCGAGCTAATATGTAATCCATGTATAACGACAAAAGCAATAAATATATTAATAAATATTGCTGAAATTAGATTAGTCCGCTGCTGGGCTTAGTCTAATGTAGCAACTTCGGAATTGGTTATTTTCGAAAACCAATAGTTAGGTTATATTCATCTTTAAAACGTAAGCACCGAGTTCATACCATTTATTCATTTGAATTCTACCTTACTATTTTTCTTCTTTTCACTAATTTGAAAGCAATTACTGTTGACATGAGCTTTTGAATATCCAGGACGTCTAATTAGGAGCCGGCCGTAAAGTTTTTAATTGGATTCTTGGTCTTAACTCGGCTTTATTAGTTCGATATTATACCGAGAACTACTTTGTAGATATCACAACGCATTTTCTGATGAATACATTTTTTAGATTGATTTTTTTTCCAGAATAGATACTGTTCTGTGATGGGCTGCAAGATGCACGTAGCTTCTATACCAGGAAAGGACCTTCTCGTCCGGAAAAAATACTACAGTTGGCTGGCATAAAGCAGTAAAATATTCACGTTTGATTTTAACTAGGCATTGAGGTAAATGGGGCCCACACTCTTAAAGTGTGCAACACAATTAAAATCCCCGAGTGTTTGGTTAATGTATTCTTAATTTCTATGCAAAATAAAAAAGGCAACAGCTGTTACATTGGAATCATCATTGTAACAATATTTTGATTATAGTGTAAGAGCAAACACGCTCAGATATCAAAATTTAAGCTAGGAAATACCTAGTATTCATCACTTATAAAAGCTTATTCGACTCATGGAGGATGTAAAGATTGCCCGGGCTCCGACTTAAAACTCGCTAAAATGGTTCTTTTCTCAATGCAATACAGTCTGAAATCTTTGCTTATGCAAATTTGTTGTTTGCAAGGGAGGTCCAATTATATTTGATCTCCAACTGGGGTGAAATAACGTCTATGAAAAGGGGGAAAACAAAAAGCGAACGGGCCAGCTTTGAATGGTACCCGAGAGAAATACATAGTACGTCAGCGGAATGGCAATGCTCCATGGGAACAAAGTGCATCCAGTTGAGCGACGTGTGCAATATGTCATCAATATCGGTCGTTGCCTTTCACTCATCGCTTCTTCCACTACTCTGAGTCATTGGAGCGTAACAAGGAGGCTCGTGTTCTTGCTGCAATGACTATAAAATGGCCGTCAATTACTTCTGATACATTGTTTTATTAATCAATTTATTTATTTATTACACACTCACACAACTATCGTTACAGGGTGACATACTGAATAATGCGATAGTGTAGCCAAAAGTTATAAAATAGTCCAAATGAATGATAAAAACTTACCATTCCATGTAACCAATTAAACAAATTTAGAAAATAATAATAAAAATTATCTTTACTATTTTATATGTAACATATCACATAATGGAAAACTAGTGTAAAATCATTTCTGAGGCATGAAAACAGGTTAAAATTTCTCTCGGCAACTTCATTTACTTTTCCTGGGAAATAATAAAAATTATGGTCCCAGTATTTGTGTCAATGAAGGCATCGATCAATATAGTAAGACATTATACTTCAATTTATTCTATTACAGTAGAAATCGTTATAAAAACCAGTTAATTAAAACAAATCAGCACGGACTTAATCATCATCAATTAGGCATCCCTATTTAATATACTTTGAATTCTAATATTTTAAATTCTGATTATTAATTTACTTCTATACACTGAAGACTCATGAATGTAATGTGATGATGATTCATTACATCAAATCGCTGTTTTACTTACAGATGAGACTTTATCCAAACGATATTCATTGAGACTATTTCGTAATAAGCATTAAACGTAATCTATAACTTATAAAATTTTGAAGAAAAATGAACAAAAACTTTCGCCGCTGCGGGTTTCGAACCTGCGTTTTCTGTTTTCGCGTCCAGACGCTTTAGCAACTAAGCCAATCTTAAGTGCAGATAATAGCACTAAAAATGAAAATTATCAATTTTCATTTTTAGTGCGTTTCAAGACCGCGGGTCGAACTCAGGTTCTTCGAGTATATTAAATTAAAGGCGAGCGCCCGGACAATGAGCTATCACGGCTCGGTGCTGGCTTATCGCGTACTCAGTAGGGAAGAAAAACATCGTGAAGAAACCGGTATATTTTCGTAATAATAATTAAAATAAAGAAGACATGTAAATTCCGCCAATCCGCAGTGGGGCCGCGTGATGGACTATGCCCTAATACCCTCTGTTAACAGGAGGCCTCTGTCCCGCAGTGGGTTATGCATGGGCTGTTACTGTGTAAAAGTAATGTATAAACGTTTCGTATTCAATGTAATTGTATTTAACGTTGGATTTTTCATAGCTGTTGGGAGACAAAACTTTAGTCGTTTTGTGAGCAGCTTTCTTGTTTTACGCAAGGGAAAAATCAACAATCTTTAAGTTTTAATAAAACATTATTGGTAATTTATTCTATCAATCGGATATTAGATAAAATTTCATTGTCTATCATAATTATGTCTTATTTACAATTTTTCTAATAATTACTTCATTTTAAGACAGTACGTTTTTTTATTAATGTATTAAATGAAGGAACTTGTTAAATAATTATATTCTTATCCAAAAAAAGTTAGAAATAGCAATCCAATAAAAAACAATCCTTCTGCCGTCGGAGCAGAAAATAAAAATATCAAAGATAATAGTATTATTAAGGCAATTTGATTTTGCCAAAAAAATTTTTCGCATGTTTCAGTGCCTTCATTATATATTTACTTTATTCTTTCACTATCGTTGGAACTTTTTGATAAATGACACAGTAGTAAAGAAAAAAAAAATAGTTTTTACATTCGTTTTAAAAAAACACGGTAGGAAAAGGGAACAGTCTCGATTATCTGATTGTTCAAGATTCGCCCACGTGTTGATTCTAAAGATAACGTTTTATCTGCCACCGGATAATTCTTTGTGGTAAACAACGGTGATTGTTATACTCGTACCTATGTGTTGAACGACTATAGCGAAAAGATAGTTAATATAGACGAATTCTTTTTAAACATACAGCGATAGGAACCTAACAACAATAAAATCCACTACTGATATTATAAATTCGAAAGTAACTCTGCTGTCTGTCTCGGTTTCACTTAAAAACTACTGAACCGATTTAAATGAAATTTGGTACACAATTAGTCCAGAGACTGAGAGAGGACATAGGCTATTTTTTAATTAGAAATAAGTGTTTAAAGGGTTGAAAGATATTTGTTTAAGGACTTCAACGCGAGCGAAGCCGCAGGCGAAAAGCTAGTTATTTATATGTAGATATTATTAAGATTACTAAACTAAACAATTTTAACTTTTCAAATGTACTTGGAAACCAGTGTATGACATACACAATATGCACTCAATTGTATGTTACTAAACATGATTTAATATATTGCAGAATGTACAAAAAAAAAAAAAGAAATGACAAATAACTAGTCTAGTGAAAACCAACCACTTATAAATGAGGGAAATGTCTTTTATAAGTGGTTGGTTTTCACTGGACGAGTTATACCATTGAACAACTCACCGTTATCTTACGTCATTGGCTTTTAGAGTTGATCTCATTACAGTACTTGACAATAAACGCTCGAGTGCAGTTCGGATCCCACGTCGCAGTGAATTTGCCACAATTTATTGTTTTTTCACAACAATGAAACTGTCAGTGCTGTGCGTGTTCACGTGTGTTTTTGCTTGCATACAAGCCTGGGGTCGTGGCGATTTAGAGAAATATGGGCCCTTTCAAATCGCTCTTCGTTCGAAGTTATTAAAATGTGAGTTAATTTTATTAGACAAATTTAGTTCGTAAGCAATCGATTGTTATTTGCAGTGAGTTGTGATAGGCTCTAAATATTAACTTTAGGAAGTTTATTATGTAGTGAATTTTATTACGCAATGAAAATGCTGTTAAAAAGGTGTCCACTGTTTAACTTTGAAACATCTTAACTGAGGTTACCCAATATAATTATTGTATTTTAGAGTACAGAATTATTAAAAAAAAAGCTGATAAAATATTTTGTGAATTAATTTCCAGGTGACCACGATAGAACATTTAACCTGGACGTAAGTGAAATCGAGGTCTATTTTTACGACTTCCCCAGAAATGAAGTCGAAACATTTGCAATAAAAAATGCAGCCGAAGGAATTCTTAATTATACGGAATTGGACAAATTGAGGAGACTAATAATATTCGTTGGGGGTTACAAGTCTAATATCAACAAGAAGACGGAAGAGCGTATCAGAGATACGTTTAGGAATTTTCCAAACAGCTATTTGATTATACTCGATCATTCGCCATACACAAACGATAAACAGGGATACATCAAAAGTTACGAGAGATCCGTCAGATACGTACACTACATTGGAAAGGAGTTAGCTCAGATGCTCACCAGCTTAAAGAAAGGAGGTATATCTCCGAGGAACATTCACTGCATTGGGCACAGTCTCGGTGGCCAAATCCTTGGTCATACAGGACAGATATTCTTCGAGAACACCGGTGAGAAGATCTGGAGGATAACGGCGCTCGACCCAGCAGGGCCTTGCTTTTCGAACAGCTTCATCGAAGAACAGATCAGATCGGGGGTCGCGGCGTACGTCGAAATCTATCACTGTAACGCCGGTGGCCTCGGAACGACTAGCGTCCTAGGTGACGTGGACTTTTTCGTAAACAAGAAAGGCCAGTCGCAGCCAAATTGCAAGACACCTCTGATACCCGGAATCTTCGATTCGTCGAAAGCGGCTAAATGCAATCACAGGGCCTGCATCGAATTGTGGACGGCGACCGTTAGTCATCCGGATTGGTTTGTGGCCCGGAAGTGTGATTCGTACAAGAAATACAAAGGTGGCAGTTGTTCGGCGAATGACGTCACTATAGCTGGTTTTTGGAATCCGGGGAATGCCACTGGCGTATATTACTTTACAACTGAAGGCTATGACGTACAGTGATAAGATTAAAATATTTGATTGTACAACCAAACCAACCAAAGAACATGATTGTAATAGTATTATTTAGAAAAAAGGGCATAGAAGTATAATTTATATGTGCATAAAATTACTTTGCGAGTGATATAAATAGTATGAAGTAGTAGCAAAGTATAAAAAAGTATCCTAAGTAGTTTTTGTTGTAATTACTAGTCAATTTAACTAGAAAAAACATTTTTATATAAAAAACAACTGATTTTCAGTAGTGACGTATGAATAAAAGGTCAAATACCAATGAAAATAAAATGGGACCTCATAGGAGCTAAATCCAGCCCAATGCAGAATTTTTAAATGCGGAGTTAACAACGGAGTTCCGAAGTAACAATTACAAAACCATTTAACCGAATTATTTACCTCCTCCTTTTTGAGGTCAATTGAAAATAGCAATCGTTTTGACTAAATGAAAGCAACAAAGTTCTTCTTTTAAGCATCTTTTGAACTCCAAGATTTTGGTCAATACATACTTGTATCTGGTTATAATATTTAAATCGATACATACATAATATGTAGTATGAAAGATGTTTCTGTAACCTGGTAAGAATTTTGCATCATTTGATTTTATTCTATTTTTCCGCGTTATGTCCTAACGGTAAGTTCATTGATGTTAATGTAATTAATACGCGCAAAATAACAATAAGAAATCGCAAATTATGAGACCAAAAATAGTTTCTTAAAATGTACATTTTTTAAGGATAAATCACCAGAAACTCTCTGCGCATTTCATTTTATTTTCCTTTTTCCATATGCATAATAATTAATTATTAACAATGATTTAACCGTAAATTCATTGATTTATACGTAACGATAATTTTTAACAAAAAAAAAAACCGACTTCAATCAGAAAATTAAAAAAAATTGTTAATACCTATTACATTCAATGATGGCCCTCGATTTCTCTAGGATGCCATCATCAGATCCCGGTTTCCTTATCATGGTACCATCCTTGGGATATCTCCTTGCCAAAAAAAAAGAAACTTCAAAATCGGTTCATAAACGACGAAGTTATCCACGATCACATATTAAAAAAAGAACTATATACGGTCGAATTGAGAAACCTCCTCCTTTTTTTAAAGTCGGTTAGTAAGCGTAAATTAACAATAATTATACCACAGAGACCGCAAAAGTTTTTTGTGGATAAGTCATCGAAAACTCTCGGCACCAGGCGATTCGAACTCCGTGTTCCAGGCAACACGCACAAACGCATTTTGATAAGAAAAATGTGTGCGTGTACTTATTTACGCGCGTGAGAAGTTATACTTCTTTGGCATCATTAAAATAGTTTTTAATTGCATGCAAATAATTAATTACAATAAAATAATAAAAAGACTAGAAAAGGATATAAACAATATAAAATTACGATAGCGCCATCTACATTCTTTATTGAGAACTGTAACGGGTGAATATGATTAAGAATATGCTGCCATATAAAAAATAAGCTGTTTAGCAGGCTTCAAAGGTGTTACATTTGTGTTACAGTGATGCGCGCGCATCTTAAAATTTCACTCTCATCATTTTTCATAACGCGCCTAAAGAATTAGTATAACTTCAAAAATTACGTTTTTAAGTTTTATCTTGAGTGGAGAGTAGTCTCTGCGCTGAAGTAATTTTTTTAGTTAATGATTCAAGTTACGTGAAAAAATAACTTTCATGTTATTAAATTACGAACATAAAAAAACATAAAAAATGGACAAGATAACAAATTACTTGTAAAATCATCTTACACTTTAACTTTTATATCTTAGAAATACAACGAGGGCTAGATCCGCTGTATAATTTATTGGTTAAAAAATATAGTCATTAAATACTTTTACATTTGTCCCATTTTTTTTCATATTATGTACATGAATGCCTTCCTTTTAATGATAACGTTCTTGAATACAGCAGATCCATCGTTAGACTCTTTCACACAAATCATACAAACAATATTCGATCAGTAAAAATACTTAAATGCGAATTTTAGCAAGGACCGATTGGTTTTTAAAAGGACAATTTGTTTACAAAATTTAGAAACGTTTTACACAAAGGCTGAAGTTTTTTGCCCATGTTGATCTCTGTGTTAACAAAGGATCTATTTTTAAAACAGACTTAGTATAAATGTAAAGTTATCGGCTCAGATCGCCTTGGACTCGATTTAAAACTGGAAGTTAGGTCTGTCTTTATTAAAAAATCACAACTTATATTAACGACGGAGATAACATCAGTTTTTTTTTATAACCCAATGCATATATGCGGACATGATTGAGTGTAGAAATCTAGATTTCAATCGTGAGTACTTTATGAATGTATGGCTTTTGTACCATGTCAAATAAACCAGAATTTATCTAACGGCAGCAAAAATTAAACATAACGCAAAAGTATATCTCAGTGTCGTTAGCTCGTCTTATAAAACTTGCCGACCCGACTTGACCGATGTCAATGAGAATTGAGAGGAGGATTTTGCGATTGAATAAATTATTCCTGTCTTATTTGTGCCCGTCCAATGGTTTTGAACTAATTTCTTATTTAATATCTTTATATATATAATTTTTCTGTATTTCTCACTGAACTCCTCCTAAACGGCTGGATCGATTTTAATTGCATTTTTTGTGTTATCAGGTGGATTCGAGAATGGTTTAAATTCAGAAAGTTATTCAAAAAAGTTTCAAATTTTCGAATTTAAGACGTGTGTACAGGACAACGTCTGTCCGGTCCGCAGGTTATTATTATTTTTGGCAATAGTTGCCCCTGGTCCATTTTAGCTTAAGAAATGCTCATAAAAATCGGGCAGAATTACGCAACAGATTTCGTTATAACGAGTTTACTACAAACGTAAACACATGCGACAGCGGATAGTGTAGTTTTAAAATTGCTTCACGTTCCGACTCTGTATTTGTCGGACATTTTCAGCTCGTTCCGCCAAAATAACATGGTATTTAAACCCCGCTACAGCAGTGTTAAATTTGATTCAACCGGCAGCGTGTGGTCCACACTAGGTGGTTTTTAACGGTCCTACAGGATAACCACGTTCACGCGAAATACTTTACTAAAATATATTGAATAATTTTAACTTTAAGGGATAATAAGCTGAAGACGATAATAACATGCTTATTTTATTATGGCTGTTCAAACGTCTTATCTGAACAATAAAGATTGATTTTTTTGAAGCTATTCTTCTTTTGGCGCGTTAGGGAAAAATGATGAGAATAAATTTTTACGATGCGCGCGCACACCGTCACGAAAAACCGACACCCTGAAGTTAGTTAGACATCTACGTATGTTTGCGTGAGAACTGACAACTTTATTCACGATATTTATTTTGTTATATTTAAATAAACTTTATTTAAGTAGATAATGCGTTATAATAAAACTTTCAATGTATTAAATACCTTTTTTCTATTGTTTTTCTACAAACGTAGAATAAGGCGAAAGATAAACTTTTTGAAAATAGTTTGTTTTTTTGTTACTTCAATGAAGTATAACTTTTAACTTCTAAGGCGTGTAAATAAGTATTCAATACAACACACATTTTTTTCTTATATCTAATTCTAATATCATCGTTTTTTGGGTTTAAAATTCATAGGAACTTAAAGTAACAAATGAAAGCACACTCTTTGATTTTTACAGAAGAACGTATTTTATTCCATAACAATCTATGGTCAAAACGCTTTCTCCTTATCTTTGAACCATCTGCGAAGACGCCTAACACATGATATCATTTCCAGCTACAAATCGGTGCGATCACGTAGTGCAGCTTGAAATATAACATGACTTGGACCTTTGTTCGTGTAACACTGTCTGGTAAATTTATGTGATTCTTAAAATTGCTATTGTCAATACCGCACAGTAGCCTATATTACATTGTTTATTATGTGTTTTTATACGAAAAAATATCCAAAAAAAAATAAAAATCATTCATTTTATAAAACGGAGTTTATGTTAAACTAGCGTGTACAGAAATTTCAGGTAGGGAACACACAATAAAAAAGTTACCGTACGTAATTAGCGGTGAGATGCTAAGGTGAGATTTTAAAATTAAATAAAATTGAAGATACAGTTTTATGTTGTAATATTTATTTCATTTATCTTTATTTTAATCAAAACGACATATCTGCACGGAACACCTAAACTTTTATCATAATATACGTGTCTAGATAACCCCATTAGCTGTATCGAACGGCGCCAAAAATGTCTATTAAAATTGGCAGAATCGCGTTTAACTTACGTCAGTCTTATTGGAATCATTTACGGATTATTTTTTATTACCGTGGTAATGAAAAATAATTAATTATGTAGGTTTGTGCTATCAAATAGTGTTACAATTATATGGGAAAATCGTATAATAATACAAAGATCACTTTTCATCGGTAAGTTTAGTTATTTAATAGCTATATTTAAGAAAATACGATTTAATATTTGTTATCTCGTAGATTATTCTGGTCAGCCGGTGATGTCAGCTCATCACACGAAAGTTTTGGGGAAATTATAGGAGACAAAATACAAATATCATTACATTATCTTTCGATCAGAACATTATTTTAAAAATTACATTATTTATTTGATCATTATTTATTTATCATAATTTAACTAAATAAAATAAATGAAACCTATGTATGTCATGCACTAAAGAGTACTTTTGTTAGTCCTTTGTTTTTTTTCGGTTTCAGATTTCCTACGGATTCCGTACATGCAAATCGCTGGCTTATACAGCAGATTTTAGAAACAGAGTTTTATGTATGAACTACTGTATTTTGTTCATTAAATATTTTGTTGTTATTAAAATAAATAAAAGTATTAATCGACAAAATAATTACTTTATTCACTTCACACCCACCTTTGATTTACCTTTCACCTTATTAAATAATAGGGAAAACTTAGGTTAATAATTTGTAGCAGGAATCCCTAAATACGCACACCTTGACAGTTTGTTTCCAATACGAGCGGCACTCACACATATCACGCAATCGGAGACAGTTTTAGCGCGT